GAATATCATTAAGAAAAAGCTACACTATTTATTATGTTGTCTACGTCTCACAAGTGTATATCATACTAAATTTATGCTCAGCAGATCACAGTTAGCTCCATTAGTTTAAAAATTAGAGTAAATCAACCTATTTTGAAACTTCAATGTTAAGAGCATTATCTGTGTTTGTATGTAAGTTTTTTTTTCAATTTTGTAGCAAGTTATGCATATATAAAAATACTTATAACCCACTTAAAACTATTTATTGTAAGAAACCCACATACAAACATAAATATTGTTCTTACCATCAAGTTTCATAAGAGGTCAATTTACTCTAATTTTTAAACTAACGGAGTTAAACGTGACCTAAATTTAAATTGCTAMACGTAAATTTGCTWTGTTACGCACTTTGAAGATAGAGACATAAAACATGTAGCGTTCTCTTAAGCCTTTACAATCAAAAAAWTTGATCACATTATGAGAAAAAAGTTAATTATATTATTTAATATTTATGAAATATGCAACTTTTATGGAACTATTTTAAAATACATAATTTATTTTAATTTTTACTCAAATTTTAAAATATGTACAAATATTAGCGATATAATTCATGCTCTAAGAAACATCAATATATTTAATATTCATATTTATGTAGTATTAAGTATTAAAGAATATTTTAATATGCCTTTACTAAGTCATAATATGAAATTCAGAGTTCATATCAAACATAAATGAAATATGCTGTGCAATAAAAGTACACATTAAAATCTTACCAGAGGCCCTAGTTGCGTATCAGCATCAAATTGATCTCCAACTTTCTTTTGTGATGCCAAACTGGCGGCTTTTTCAACAAATTTTTCATAAATACCTTCTTGAACAAATGTTCTAGAACCAGCACAGCAATTCTGACCCATGTTGGCAAACACAGCATCATGAGCAATCTTAGCAGCTTCGTCAACTGTGTTTAAATAAAAGACAAATACAATATTAAAATAGTTACAGTCAACATTTTCAGAAGAAAAAAATTACCATCAAAATCATTGAATATTACAAGAGGACTCTTGCCACCTAACTCTAATGATACACGTTTTAAATTAGATTTGGCTGCTTCTTCCATGATTAATTTTCCAACCTTATTTTTGACATACATTAACAAATTTTGTTAAATTGACATCATATAAAAAAATAATCATGTTAATTTGTTTAGTATTTAGTATTTACTTCTGTTGATCCAGTAAATGCCACTTTATTTATTTCCTGATGGCTAGCTATAGCTTGACCTGCAGTTGGACCATAACCAGGTACAACATTAATGACTCCATCAGGAAATCCTGCCTATAGAAAAAATATAAGTATATTATTTTACATAAATACATAAATRTATAATGTACTGTAATGCTTTTTTTTTTAAATTTTATTTTACTTCTTTTGATAGCGCAGCTACATGCAAGGCAGTGAGAGGGGTTTGTTCAGCTGGTTTAAATACAATTGTACATCCAGTAGCAAGAGCCGGTCCCCATTTCCATGCCAACATTAAAATTGGATAGTTCCAAGGTATAATTTGTCCAACTACTCCAACAGGTTGATGTTTAGTGAATGCAAAATATGGTCCATCTATAAAGATATGTGTTAAAATAAGTTAATAAATAATAACTATTAAAATCAATGGCACCGAATGTAGTTCAATTGATCAGCCTTCAAAARCAGCTATTTAAAAGAAGCATTATTTTCTCAATATCAAAAAAAAAGCTACAGAAAATAAATACAAATGACTTCCACTCATTGCTCACTTAATTATAATGAAAATAAAATGTTTGAGGATTTAAAATAAGATTAAAGATCAACTCAGGTATAACCAGTATAGCTAAAGGATTTGGGAAACGAGGAAAGCAATTCTACTTCTGAGAATACTAATAGGCTCGGGCCACACATAGCGGTCGAGCCGCAGCGGTTCAACTGCCAGATTATCGTTCACATATGCGCGGTCAAACCGCGTGCGGTTATACCAAAGTATTGGGTGATTGAAAAATTATTATATTTTAAARCTTAGTAATTAATAGTACCATATACTACAGTTGACATGCTCRTAATGAAAAATTAGTTATATCTAAGTAGTAAGTATATTATCTTTATTATGTGAGGCATTTTAAAATKTTATTATATTATTACATACTTACTTTATATACCAACATATTTCTATACGCTGTTCCAAAAGAAAATACACCAGATATTCATGTATATAGATTTGATAAAAAAAAATAAAATTATATTTTAAAACATCAGTTTTTTACAAATAAAAAAACAGTGTAATTTTAGGTTATGAAAGTTACTAGAAACCTTAGGCCCCACTATTGGAATTCTTTTTTTAATGCAAATGATCTTTGAAAAAATGAACCGCGACTATGTGTGAACGGACTAATTCAAAACAATGTGTTTTGATCATTTGGGCGGTCAAACCGCACGTGGGTCAACCACGACATGTTGCGGTCGATTTTTCGACCACAGCAATTTCCGCGGCTGAACCGCGTAAGTGTGATCGCGTATCGGGTGGTTGCATTTAAAATAAAACAATTTAAATTTGGTGAGCGGTTGAACCGCTGCAGCTCGACCGCTATGTGTGGCCCGACCCATAGAATAACAATTAAAGTAGATAAAGATACATTTATWATATTTTTTTAGTTTTTGTTTGGCAGATTTTCAGAAAATATCTAGTAATTGATTTTAGGTATCAGAAGCTGATGCCTACATAATATCTACATGAACCAGTCAGCAAAAATAATAATAAAGGACAAATCAGCTACATTAAAGGTCTGGAGAGGCACTATAATCTAATCTTTCAAGGTTGAACAATAAATAAGCAAATATTAAGTATAGTCAAAGTATCAATGTACATGTCAAAGTATYAATATTTAAATACATTATGTCATGTAACTACATGTTGCTAACATATTAGGTAGTGATTGGGACTCAATTCAGTTTTATAAAATTTGTTAGTACTTATTAAATACAAAAATATTTTGAGTACTTTAGGGTGCATAACCTTTGTAGCTTGTAAGTGTATAAAGCATTAAGCCATTAAAGTTATTATAATTTAATCATACTTAAAATTTAAATTTAAAAAAAAATGCTATTCTAATACATTTGTTTAAATGCTAATTTAGCTTTATATACTTAAAAGTTAAAAATCAAATATAAGATAGGTACAGTCATATTGATTCCAAAAATTTGTAAATAGAATTTTCACAAAATACTTAGTAATTTATTTACTATAATAATAAATACCTGCTGGAATAGTTGTTCCATGAATTTTGTCAGCAAATCCAGCATAATATTGAAGAGTAGAAATAGCCATATCTATGTCCAATAATGAATCACTATAAGGTTTACCATTGTCCAAAGACTCTAAATTTGCTAAATGAATTTTGTGTTTATCTATTAACTCAGATAACTTATACATCAATTTGCCTCGAGCAGATGCGTCCATTTTACGCCATTCAGAATCAGGTTTAAATGCCGTTTTTGCAGCATTAACTGCCAAATCAACATCATCCTACAAAAAAATAGTTATTTACATTAATTTTATTTAAAATTAATTAAACACATAAACATTTACAATTAAGATGTTATTTAAATGATATAAAAGGTATCACATATTATTTGTTTGCTGTTCTATATTAACATACTTTTTATTGTTGTTTTATTTTGAAGTGTTAKTTTACTATATAACAATAACATTATATTCTTACTTTATCTGCTTCGGCAACATCAATAATTTTTTTTTTATTTGCAGGATTGATAGTTGCAAATGTTTTTCTACTTAATGAGTTTACAAAATTATTGTTTATAAATATCTGAAAAATAAACATTAAAACTCTTATAAATATTATTTGAACATTAGTAGAATGATGGAATYACCATACGATTATACTAGATGTTAAACATTTAGTTATATATATATATGATATGCAGATTATATAAATCTACATTCATACTATAATCAGAGGTTGACTTGGAAATAAAGTAGTAGAGGTACTCTAACTACTTTTAAAATGTAGCATCCCTAGCATTTTAATAAAACTTACATAATCACGGCRGAGGGGGGTTAAAAGTTTACATAACRATCTATCCCATGCGTTCCCCTATAAAAAAGAAGTAGGGGTACGCTAGACTATCCAAAAAATTAGTTGAGGTACTCAGTCCCTCCAAGTCAACCATTGACTATAATTGTAAAAAGTGATCAATAAATGTTACAAAGATGTCTTAGTTACTATACAGGACTGGAAAAATGCAAATAGCTACTTACATAAGTAGTTATATAGATAATGTCAGAAGCGGTTTGAGTATACTGTTTTTGGTGCACTGCACCACCAATGTTGGGGGGGTGGGTGGTCTTGGTTGAGCATGTGCTGACCGAAATGTTTAATTTTAATGTTCAATAAATGAATAAAGTAATAAAGTACCTAATCAATGACATTTGATAAATGATAATCGTGGCTGAAACTGAGAAAGCGTAGAGTTAAGAAATATAAGGGCCTTATAAACTATAAACTTATAAAAAAATATTTATTTGTAATTTCTATGATGAAGGGGGGGGGGTGTATATGTATTGTCTTGCACCACTAAGTATAATACATTCAAACCGCCTCTGGATAATGTCATACGTACCACTAATAAATTATATTTTTCAAATTGAATTTTAAATTTTTAGTAAACATTCAAATAGGTATATACTATGTAATAACTTGTAAATTTATCARAATAATTCAAATAACAATTGATAAGTTATTAATATATAGAATAATAAATAAACAGAAACTTTTCAAAATAAAAGTATGTACCTAATGTGCAGTAGATTGTAGATTCTATTACATATTATTGTGAATTTGAACATATTTTTGATTTAACTGATTTGAAAATTTTAATATTATAAAATATAGGTACCTGATTATATAAGACTTCAACACTTGGATTTGCCATTTCTAGATATAGCTGTGTAGGTATGTAAATTATGTATATATAACTATTTAAATAAACTGGAAATTTATAAATAAAATGTTAGGATATATAAATAATATAATATTAGATATTTTTTTTAAATTTAAAAAATTATAAAGTAAATTTTACTGTCGTTGAACAAAACAACACTAAGATAAAGTCATACGTGAAATGACTGGGGCAGCCCTGACGTAGATATCGGCACTTAGCTTCTGAAGCAATTAACATGATTAATTACTTAAACAAAATAACAAATAATTTACATTTAGTTGTATACCCAACATAATATTAACATAGATATAACATATACTAATAAAATAAATCCTTTACGTATATAAAATCAATATACAATATAAATCCCGCAACTCAATAGTCAATCTCAATACTGTAGGTATACAGAGTA